GGCAGAGTCGGTAAAGGTCAAAGTGGGCGCTGCACCTGGCATATTTGGGGAGCAGCAAGGAGATTGGATTGAAATGAGTGAGATGAGCAGGAAGAGGAGGTCAGAGAGGTAATAACAGAGGGAACGGGGAAATCACAGGCTTTCTGGGCCATCATACACTTTGACCTCTCTCTGACCTGGGAAGCCTTCGTGGGGTTCTGAGGAATGGAATGATCTGGCTCTTTCTGGAAGCATTATTCTGGCTGTGTGTTTGGAAAAGATGAGGAAGGTAAAGAGAAACTAGTCAGAAGGTTTTAATAATTTACAGAAGAGATGATGGTGGTACTTGTGGATGACTATAATAAATACACATGATGTATAAAAATGTAAATTTATGTGCATAAATTAAGCACTATATATGAGATATGTGTATATAATGGTGAACGAAGTAGATATGGTCACTGCCCTTTAGGAGCTTACATTCTAACTTACCTAGAAATTTTTCTTGGTAGTCGTTCCTAAATTTTCCTCAAAAAATTTCTTATATTCTTTTTCAAAGGATATAGCCAAAAAAAAAAAATTATCTTAAAAAAATATATCACGAAAATACACATACAAATACAGCCATAATGAGAAAGAAGTATTAAGTTTATTAGATTCTGGGCATTTATGTTTCCTAATAGCTTTTCTGGGTACATTTTCATTGTACAATGCTAAATTAGCAACTTTGGAACAAATCTGTAGAATGCACCTATATTGTTCCTGAATTTAGTCTGTCTTGTGCTAGATCAGTTTTTAGACAGGTGTTAATTTCTTTTGTGAGGTAATATTTCCTAATGATTAAGAGCCTGGCTCTGGAGTTGGACTGTCTAGGCTGAATTCTGACTCTACTACCTGCAACTATATAACAGACTAATTACTTACCTTCCTGGAGCCTTGCTTTATTTTGCTTTTCTAAAAAATGGGGACAAATGTAGTACCTACCTTATGGGTTCTATTTTGAGAATTAAATGAATTGATTCTAGATATATCTTAAAGGTAGAGTCCATAGAATTTCCCGACAGATTTTTCAACCGGAGCCGCTGGAAGGATGGAGTTGGCATTAGCTGGGGTGGTAGAAGATGCTGGTAGAGCAGACTTGGGGGAGAAGGTAGTGGATCGATGTCCAGATGAAGAATGCAGAAAAATGAATTAAAGATTCCTATGGTCTGTTCTTGTTTATGCAGTGTATGGTCAAGCTTGCATTTAGAACATTGCATTTACATTTCCAAGTGGTAAGCTCCCGCGTTTAGACAAGAATGTGTATCAAATACTTAAATAATCATTAGAAAAAATTTAAGGATAAACTGCTCAGCATGTATTAGCTTCAGCCTTTCTTAATTTCAGTAACGTATCTGTCTCTTCACATGTTACTCTGTCTTCCAGTTGCATCACTGGATATCCTCTCCCCTTCAGTGCTTGCTCTGACTTATGTAAGTTTTCTTTTTGTCTTCCAACATGATCTCTTGGCCTTTTCCTAAATCAGGGATCAGATTTTTGTACCAGTTTCCAATATTTGCTCTGAGTCAGGCAAGGAGAGGCCCAACCCCATGTGTTCCCATTACCCAAAGCATATCCACCTTAGAGGCCTAGGAGAAAAAATGTTTAAGGGTGAGGATAAGTGAACCTCTAAGATGTTAAGGTTGACTAGATTGAAATGGCACAATGCTTGGAGTGTTCCATGTTACTTTGATTAGCAAGAAGGGTGTAAAGAGCACCTTTATTTGGGAAGATGCAGACATCAGCCATAATCCTACATCAGGCTTTTGCTCCACTCCCAAGCCAAATGTTATCAATGTCCAGCTTATGTTTTCAATGTCCACTCCCTGACCTCTACAGAGAAAGAGCTCTTAACCTGACATTCATGGAGTAGCCTTACATAAATGCATGGTGTATAAATCCTATATAAAGTGTGTGTGTGTGTGTGTTTTCCCTAAAGTCTGTACGGTGGATGAAGCTCTGTAAGAGATCCATAACTCAAAAATTTAAGAGCTGTTGCTTCAAAGAGTGCTTATTTTCTAGTTTTTAAGAGCAGCTATGTAAATAAACCTTTGTTTTACCTTACTGTCATTGATTTTAAGTCTAATAGACTCAGTAAAGACACTAATAAAGGATAGAAGGGTACTTTGACAGTAAACTTTTAGAGGTGAGATCTAAAACAACTGGGACTTTTCCCAGTGATGAAGTTATTTTTGATAAAGTTACAAAATTATCTATTACATAAAATAAATACAACTCTGCACCAAGAACAATGCCAGCAAAAAAGAGAAGCATGTGTGCTGAATCTCATTCTCCAGCTAAACTGAGCGCTAGAGTTGTTGTTCTGCCCTGTGGGTTGCAAATAATCACCAGCAGTGAAGAAAGAGTCAGACTTTCTTTTCTTTCCTCTAAGACCAGGAAGAGCTGGTTACCCATCATGTTTTCTCTTTGCTTTTCACCTTCTTGCTTTTTCATTTTATATCTTCATTAGCTTATATAATTCCCATACTAAGAGGTGGAAGGAAAGGACTTGTCTCAAAAGCTAACTATAGTTACAGATACGGCATTGGAAGGATTGTGTCTAGATCTGGGTAGGAGGTCGTTGGGTGCGTTAAAAAGCTGTAGTGATAAGTCATCAACTTAACTGGGCAAAGTTAAGTGTCATTGCAGGGTTTTCAGATGATTCTCATGTGTCAGGTTTCCAGCCAGACCATTACAGAGGGAACCCACAGCGGGCGTATTTCAGAAAGCTAACAAATTTAACACAACAAGACATGTCCACTGTACAATGGGATTTTTTAAAATGGAAATATATCCATATGAACTGTATAAATTACAAGATTCAAAGCAGTGGTGTAAATACACTACAAAACCTATGCATGAAGGTCATGACTTGGATGGGAATCTGTCAGTGCTATAAAAACACGTATAAACAAAACATTTTCTTCCTCTGATAAACCTACAGGATATTAAATTAAGAGTATTTACACAATTTTATACTAGACATGTGAAAAATATACCATGCTAGAACAATCTTGTTCCAAAATTTGAAACGTAATTCTGTCAAGTAAAAGTATTCTTCATACAATGTATGAACTTATCAATAACTTCCTGGGTATAAAGTTGTTCTTTATATGACAGGTGAGGATCCGTCTGAATTATATTTTGATTAGAATTTTGTTTCAACTGGTACCTGGAAGAAGATAGAAAGTTCTTGTCTTAAAAGATTTCTTAAGTACTGTCCCTTTCAATAATCCTATCTTGTACTTAAAAAGAGCAAATGTGGTCCATCTTGTTAAAATTATACCTAGAATTTACCAGAGTCATCCACAAATTTTTCGTCTTGAATTTTAATGATCACATACCTTCCATTGCTACTTGGTTAACATAGGCCCATGTGATACCATGTTGTGATGTAAGTGTATCTTTCAAAGGCCTAATTTAACTTAATCAAAATGATACTACAGTGGTTGGAGCAATACACCCCTTCACAACTGTGTCAGAGGCCACGCAAGCTCCAAGCGGCTCTGTGTGCTGGCCAGGCACCTTCAGCCTTTATGTGAATCACCCCTGGTGGCCTGATATATCTTCCTCTAAGTAATGTAGTGAGGAGTTGGCGTCACATTTTTGTTGTTGTTCATTTTTTTTGTCTTAATATGGGGAAACAGGTACAGGATGGTCCTGACTACATTCTGTTAGATGGTTGGTTCTGAAGCTTTGATTTGACACATTAGGTATAAGTTCGGTTTCTACACTTTATCCTTTCCAACTTGGTGACAGTTCTGAAACCAACGGCTGGGGAGAGGATTTCTAGTAATGCTGTCCTTATAGGGCCTCAGGCAAGGTGCCCCCTGTGGGTTTCTCTAGAATCCAGCCGTGGGAAACATGTCTGGTTGGAAACATGACTGGTGTTTTTTGAGAATGTGTGCCCACTCAGGCCTAGCTAACTTCTGGAATGGCTTTTTCATTGAACTTTTCCTATTTGGCATAACTTTTAATAAGGGTTTAGGGTTATCTTATGCTATATACTTCTTCATTTCTAATCTAAATCCCTTTTTTCTTGTCTTCTTAAACCTTTCTTCAAATAAGAGAAATACCATTAGCCACCTCCCATACTTAAAGGCAATCATTAGATTCTTTCTCAGGATCCCTAATTCCATTAGTCTTTCACCAAAGGATAGAGCCACTGTAGCATAGTGATAGAGCCCAGGGCTTGGCATCAGACAGATCTTGCTTCAAATCCTGTTGCTGTCACTTTGGTGTGTGACCTTAAGTAAATTAGTTAAGCTCTCTGAGCCCTTTCTAATTTCCTCATTTATGAAAAGAAGATATCTTCTTTGCATATTGTTGTAAGGATGAGATAATGAATGTAATGCACCTACCATGTACCTGACCTATAGCAGATACCCAATTTGATTTGTGATTCTGCTTTTCCCAAACTGGAGGCATTCCCTTAAAGGACTGAATATTCTAGAAATGAATGTTCTAAAATGAAATAGAACTATCCAGTTAAATGAACTTGGCAAATCTTTCTGGTAAGGAAGGGGAGGAACTTCACTTTCATTGCTGGGCTAGGCTCTGTGCTGGGGACTTTCCCAGGCTCCTGGGAAGCAGGAAGTGTGTATTAACTTCTCACTGCCATCACTAATTCATCTGTAAGTGGAAATAGCCATACCTTCTCCACCTCATGGATTACTAAAAGAGTAGAATAAGATGTTGGTTGTAAGTACTTTGAAAACATAAAGAGATCTCTCTACATATATGCTCAATATTGCATTAATAGAGACCTAGTACCACTATTTTCTATCCTTTTTTTGTACTGGTCTGAGTTTATTTTCCCTCAAAGTCCCTATGAAAACTGGCATTGCTTTCATTTTCTAGGGAAGAGGCCCAGAGGCTCAAACAAGGGCTGGACTTTCTGCAGCATGCTGGAAGAGGCCTCGCTGCTTTTCAGTTTTTTGTTGTGATGTCTAGATAAACCTAAACTTGTTGAAGAATCTTACCTGACATTCCCGATTACGTAATCCTCCGTTTGTATTTATGGTAAAATCAAATTTCCTTTCTTTTTCCTGAGAAAACCAGAATGGAACCATGGATTAGGAATATATTTTTTTTAAATGTTGAAAAAGAAAGGAGAATTTAAGCACAGATGGTTTTTATATAAATGTGAAAGTCACTAAAGAGCTGGTACCTGACTAGGAGTAAACTTTGAAGCATTGTAGTCCTTCTTCATCCAAATGTGCAAGACAGCATCGTGGATTGTTAAGAAAAAGATTGAGTCCTTGACTTCATCATCAAAAAATTCACACTGTGCAAGCTTCTCAATGAAATCATCTGAAGAGAGGCAAAGAAAGGATAACAGGAAGAATTAATTGTTTCGCTGAAGGTTTCTTCTGGAGACTGGAGATCTGCGTTTCCATTTGCAAACGTGCAGTTCACTGACGTTTGGTCCGGTATTCGGGGCTCGCAATGGTACGATACCAGTGTACCGTTAGTTTGGTGTTTTCTGGAACGAAAGGATATCTTTCTAATAAAAGAACACATTTCCTGCCCTAATGGAAAAAGAAAGAAGGAAAAGATTCAGATGAGGAGAACTTTTAGTACTTCTCAGAAGAAAACCGATCCATTTTCCTTTAGGCAAGAGCCTAGTGAGTTAATCTCCCTGGCTAATGATTAGAGCAGCAAATGTGGCTTATACAAAATTGGGATTCTGCCAAAATAGGACATATGCTCATAGACCAGTGATATGCTCTGGTTCTGGATTGCTGGACCTATTATTTACCAGTTATTTACTGTAGTACATTTTCCTAAAGCTGCCATGTGCTTTCAGAAAACACCTTCCTCGGCACCCCACATGACCCCGCCAGTTATCTTTGCGGACCCCCTTCTTGTAGGCACTAACCACACTTGCTTGTACAGATCTCATGGGTACCGTGTGCAGAGCCTGGCTGAGTAATATGAAGGATCAAGAGATAAATTAGGCGTATGAAACTCACCCTCAAGGAAAATAGAACATGTCTATATACCTACAGTGATGAAAGGAAAAGTGCCGTAGAAGAATAAAGGCAAGAAGCAATCCAATTTTTTTTTCTTTAATGTTTTCTTAGCTCTTAAAATAATGGCCAGCACATAGTAGGTCCTCGTTTTTGCTGAATGAGTAAGAGAGATACAGACCATGTGCTATGGAAATTCAGAGAAAGGAAAGATGGCTTCCTCTTGATGGGTGTCTGGGAAAACCTCCTGAGGAGGGTTTGGAGAAAGATGGAAGAAGAGAAGGTACAAAAACATGGATATGGAGACACACCCCCTGGTCACAGGCAAGCTTTCAATACTGGCCAGACTTAGTCGTGAGGGATGGAGGAGGAGAGAGGAGCGCCCGGTGGTCACCAGAACCCAGGATGGAGGTGGGTGGCGCGCGATGGGAAGGAAGGTGATGATCTTAAAGACTAAGAGAGGGATGCCGGGCAGCAGAGGCAGCAGGATGGGACACTTTCAAAAAGATCTGAGATGATGGGGAAGGATTACAATTGTTTAGCAGATTAAAGGGTTACTGAGATCAACAGAATAGTTTTAATGATAAGGAAGCCTCCAAACTAGAATATGTCTGTAGATTTTACGGGGAGGAGCCAGTGGAGAGGAAAAACCAAAGATGCCAATTTCATGCCTCCCTCAGGAAATGTGCGCCTGTCCCCTCTCCCTAAAATGCTTTCCCCTAAGATACTGTATTATGGGCTGAGGAATCTAGGGAGGTGAGGAAGAGAGAAAACCTTTTCAAGAAGATCAGAGGTAAAAATGGTTGCATATTCACTCTTTTGCTGCTTATGAAAATTAGGTTTCAAATTGTAAAGTTAATTTAATTACACATCAATACAACTAAAACATAAAGATGCTATTTCCTTAGGGATTACTATTGGTTTGGCACCTTCTTGGTGATCATAAACAAGACCTAGACTTTGGAGAGGCCATCTATATTGAGAGTTGGCCGTGAGTCTGAAGTGATTGTCAGAACATAAAAACAACTTACCATCACTTCCAACAATATACACATCTATGTTGATCCTGATAAATTCTTGCAGAATCTGTTAAAAAGAAAGTAGATCTTCCTTAGGGAACAGTTTTACTTGTCAGAAACATAAAGAAAATGATCATAATTATGCCTTATGGGTGTTGTGTTGCTTAGAGAACCTTTTACATTTTGAAAAGAGATAACAGTGTAAAGAGACACGAAAGCTAACAAGAGGCTCTGTGACAATAGGAAATAAATCCAAAGGAAAGAATGCTCCTCTTCAGAGAAAAGTTAAAAATGATCATTCTTGTGGGAAGTATGATGGGAAATCTGTTTCCACTCACAAGATGGGTTCTGATTTAATTTGAAAACCATTTCCTTCATGGGATGACCTTGACCTGAGCTTTCTAGCCACATAGAAGTAGAAAAAACCAAAACCCTGTGGCTTGTAAATTTGTTCATTATTCCTGTCCACAGTGACTGGATGTATTAACACTACTGAATCTTGATTTGTTTTCCAGGTCCTAGGCTAAGAATAAATACCAGTAGTGATGTGAGTGAGGTCATATAAGGTAAGAAGAGCAGCTTATACTATGGATTATTTTAGATGATCATTAAAACCATTGTTATCTTCAATAAACACCGAACCTCTAATAGGCACTGAACTAAGAATAAGGGCTTTAAAGAAACATAAGGTAGAGTCCCTGTCCTTTGTGCTATACTGCTGGGACCAAAACCAAATTGTGTGTGTGTGTGTGTGTGTGTAGCTTTTTCTCCAAAGCTAAAACAAATGCAAAAACAGAGAAAGAAAAGAAAAAGCAAGCAGTTTTGAGAGTTCTGTGATGTTAAGATTTTTTAAAAAGTCTGAAGGAAATGAAATTGATTCAATTTTCTAATTTTGTATCCAGTTCACCCATATTTAATAGATCTTATCTTAGCTCAGTTCTTATGTAGGAAGATACCTGTGAAAACCCAAGAAAAAGAGGGGTAAATGTGGAATTTCTTAAATTTTCTTTATGTCTCTTTCTGCATCTCTGTTGGAAACCAATTTATTTTAGAAATGCTGACAGAACCATGGAAAGAAAAGAGAGTACAACCTGAAGGTTTTAGTCCTATTTTTAAATCACACGTGATATTGATTCTTTCACATAGCTACTTTTTTGGCAGGGGGCGGTGATGGGTGCTGGAGAACAGATTTTATACAGCCAACTGAAATTTCATCAGCTTATAATAGATAAAGACAAAACAAAAGGATCCACTATTCCACTTTTGTCCAAGACCTTCCCAAATATTCAGTATTTCCAGGACAATTTAGATACAGTGCACAAGGATCTGAAGGTCCTGCAGGACTGGAATTTGGTAGGAGTGTGGGCATAGTTGTGTAGTGGCAAGTTCAGCATACATTAGAAATATGGGTGTGGTTGTCTTCAAAATTAGAAGCCAGCCTCCTGGGAAATGCTCTTTTAAAGAGCTCACTGAACACATCCCCCCCATTCCCACTCTCTGCATGGAATATCCTAAAATTACGATTTACTTCTACTTAAGTGTGTATGATCTAAAGGAGCATCTTTCCACAAATGTAACTTTTTTCCTTTGGCCACTGATTGGTTGTGTTCATTAAGAAAGAAAGTAATTACTGTTTTGAGCCCCCTCATTGAAGAAATGTCAAGAAACGACACTGCTGAAAAGTCAAGAATAAGGCTATGCAGGCTGATTTTGGGGACACTAATGTTGAGAGGAAAATCGGTGTTCCAGTCTATCTGGAAGGGCAGGTCGGTGGTGTTGATCGGCTGATCCAGTTCTTCTATCTCGTTGTTGTCCATCTCGTCGTTGGAATCTTTAAAGCCATCACTGGTATATATAAATCCTTTCTGCAAGAGAAGACAATAAATATGCATGATAACTCTGACCAAGAGAAATACTGCATATGTCAAAAATAACCAGTGAGTGTCTGAAGCACAGATTCAAAGTTAGGTCAAGCCCTTTTCTTTGGAGAATCACATTTTCCCAGGAAAACAAAAATTTTAAAGATGCCATTTAAAAAAACAACATTAACTGACATATGACGTACCTTGTTTATCTGGCATTTCACTTAAAAGAATGGAACCAACACCTGGAACTACATTTTATATGCTTTTAGCTATAATACCCAGAAATGTGGTCAAGAAATTTACTGGTTTCATGCCCAGGAAATAATCAGTCTCACAGGACTAAAGAGGCCCTTAGGAAAAACTAAGGAGGCCTAGAGGTTTTTGCCAAAAATGCTATAATTTGGTCATACAAATTGTCAGACGTATACACAGTCCACGCCGGGCTAAGGTTTTGTTGGTTCCAGGGGCACCTGGGTGGCTCAGTCGGTTAAGCGACTGCCTTCAGCTCAGGTCATAATCCTGGAGTCCCGGGATCGAGTCCCGCATCGGGCTCCCTGCTCAGCGGGGAGCCTGCTTCTCCCTCTGACCCTCCCCCCTCT